TTCGGGTTTTCTCCCGCGTCAAATTGGAAGTGTCTTGGCGACGTTAAGCACGAAGCCGAAGACACCAGCCTGAAGATGACGAATGAGACTTCGTCGAAACGTCGCCAAGACACTTCCAATTTGACGCGGGAGAAAACCCGAATAACCAAAGACCTACATGTGTATGTATGTATGTATGTAAAAGTCAGACAGACTTCGTCCAGTCTCCTCTTAAGAACCTCCAGCGATATATCACCCAACTTCTGGAGGCAGGCCCTTCCCCTGGTTCATTGTCCTCCCTGTCTGGGAAACTCACCAAACGAACGAAGGAATAATTTCTGAACTTCTCCCTTCTGCCTAGGACGCCAAAGTGGTCCTTTTGGAAGACCTGGCTTCTCACCTGGGCCTCAGGACTCAGGTAGGGCTCTGCGAGCCGGACGTGGCACGGTGGTCTGTGGGAAGGAAGGGAGGGAGGGAGGAAAGGAAGGAAGGAAGAAAGGAAGGAAGGAAGGAAGGAAGGAAGGAAGGAAGGAAGGAAGGAAGGAAGGAAGGAAGGAATAGAGAATAGAATAAAGCTGGAAGGGACCATGGAGGTTTTCTAGTCCAGCCCCCTGCTCAAGCAGGAGAATGTATATCATCTCAGACAAGTGACTGACCAGTCTCTTCTTAAAAACCTCCAGTGATGGAGCGCCGACGATTTCTGGTGGCAAGCTGTTCCTCTGGTTAATTGTCCTCACTGTCAGGAAATTTCTCCTTAATTCCAGGTTGCTTCTCTCTTTGATCAGTTTCGAACTATTGTTTCTTCTCCTGGCCCTCTGGTGCTTTGGTGAATAACCTGACCCCCTCTTCTTTGTGGCAGCCCCTCAAATACCGGAATACTGCTATCATGTCTCCCCTATTTCTTCTTTTCTTTAGATTAGCCCAGGGGTAGGCAACCTTGGCTCCTTTATGACTCGTGGACTTCAACTCCCAGAATTCCTGAGTCAGCCATGCTGAGGGGAAAGGGAGAGGTTTCCAAGCTGAGCCAGGCTGGCTCCGGAATTCTGGGAGTTGAAGTCCACGAGTCATGAAGCAGCCTAGGCCTAGGCCAGAGGTAGGCAACCTTGGCTCTTTTATGACTGGTGGACTTCAACTCCCAGAATTCCTGAGCCACCATGCTGAGAGGGAGAGGTTTCCCCTGAGCCATGCTGGCTCAGGAATTCTAGGATTTGAAGTCCACGAGTCATAAAAGAGCCAAGGTTGCCTACCCCTGCACTGTTAGGCAAACCCAAGTCCTGCAGCTGTTCTTCGTATGTTTTAGTCTCCAGGCCTTGGATCCTCTGAGTTGCTCTTCTGTACACTTTTTCCAAACTCTCAACATCTTTTTTGTGATATGGTGACCAGAAGAGGCTGCAGTATTTCAGGTGTGGCCTCACTAGGGTTTTGGGTCGCAATGCCGGGGGGGGGGGGGGGAGAAAGGGCTTACAGTGATGGATGCCCAACCTCTCCCCGAAAAGGGGCTACTGCTTACCTGCTTGCTTTTCCCTTCCCAGGATGCGATTAACCGAGTGCAAGACCTCATGGCAGATGGGACGCTCACAGGTGAGAGCCAAAATAGGACGGGATTTCCTTGCCTGGTTCAAGTACGAGCAGGTGTGTCTCCACCGCCACGCCTGAGCTGTCTTCGCTTGACGTTGGCGAGCCCTTCTGTTTGGTTGCAGTTGCCGTTCACAAGGTTATCGCGGCTCAAAGAATATTATGGCTCTTTGGGCTTGTAATAATAACCATACAGCCAAAGGTCAAAAGTCATCGCTGGAATATTTCATTGGCTCCTGACTAGTTAGCAAAATAATAATAATAATAATAATAATAATAATAATAATAATAATAATAATAATAATAATAATAATGAGGAGGAGGAGGAGGAGGAGGAGGAGAAGAAAAAGAAGGAGGAGGAGGAAAGGAAAAGGAGGAGGAGAAGGAGAAGAAGAAGGAGAAGAAAAAGGAGGAGGAGGAGGAGAAGAAGAAGAAAAGAAGAAGGAAGAGGAGGAGGAGAAGGAAAAGGAGGAGGAGAAGAAGAAAGAGAAGGAAAAGGAGGAGGAGGAGAAGAAAAGGAAAAGAAGAAGAAGAAGAAGAAGAAGAAGAAGAAGAAGAAGAAGAAGAAGAAGAAGAAGAAGAAGAAGAAGAAGAAGAAGAAGAAGAAGAAGAAGTAGAAGAAGAAGAAGAAGAAGAAGAAGAAGAAGAAGAAGAAGAAGAAGAAGAAGAAGAAGAAGAAGAAGAAGAAGAAGAAGAAGAAGAAGAAGAAGAAGAAGAAGAAGAAGAAGAAGAAGAAGAAGATGATTTCCTGTGCCTACTTGAGACTTTTGACTTGTTGGGGGGGGGGCAGAAGCCTGTTGTCATCCTTGCACGTGGTTGCCTCCTCACCCTGGCCTGCCCCATTAGCAGTCTTGCACCTGAATGGGGTGTAATGGTTAAGAGCTGCTTTCCCCCAGCCTGCCACGTTTCAGGTATCTTTTCGGTGTAATTCTGCAAATTGAGATCCCAAAATGATGTGGGGGTCAGGAGCGGAGGAAAACCTGTATGGCTGGGAAAGGCAAACATGGCATTCTCAGTCATCAGCTGGCAGTTGACTGGGGGATCTGGGGTGAAGTGATTCCTTTCAAATTCAAGGAGATGGAGACAACGAAGGGCGGAGAGTGAAGGGAGAGGAAGGAAGGAAGGAAGGAGGGAGGGAGGAGAGAAAAGGGGAAGGAAGGGAAGGGAAAGGAAAAGAAAGAAGTAATGGAAGGGAGAGAGGAGGGAGGGAGGGAGGAGAGAAGGAAAGGAGAAGGAAGGAAGGACAGAAGAAAGGGAGAGAAAGAAAGGATAAGGGAGAAAAAGGAAGATGGGAGGGAGGGAGGGAGGGAGGGAGGGAGGGAGGAGAGAAAGAAGAGATGGAGAGAGGAAAAGAAGGAGGGAGGAGAGAAAAGGAGAGGGAGAAAGGGAGGGAGGGAGAGAGGAGCAAAGAAGGGAGGGAGGGAGGAGAGGGAAGAAGGAAGGGAAGAGAAGGAGAGATGGAAAGGGGAAAGAAGGAAGTGGAGAGGAAGGAGAAAGAGAGGAGGGAGGAGAGAAAAGCAGGAGGGAGAAAAGAAGAGGCAGGAAACAGAAGGGAAGACGAAAAGGCGGAAGAAAGGGAGGGAGGAGAGACAAGGAAGAGAAGGAAGGAAAGAGAGAGAAGGGAAGAGGAAGAGGAAGGACCCCATTCTGGGAGGCAGGTAAATCTAGGAAAGGAACGTAAAAACGAGCTTTCCCCTTTAAACAGCCAGGCCCTTTAAAGCACCCTTGTCATGGCCCGGCTTTGAAACAACTTTGAAATCCCGGAAGAATTGGCACCCGCCATTCTTCCCTTTTTGTTCATTGGGCTGGGTTTTAATTCCCGCTCTGGCCTTCCCCGCAGGGGTGATCGACGACCGAGGCAAATTCATCTACATCACGCCCGAAGAGATGACGGCCGTGGCGGAGTTTATTCGGCGCCAGGGACGCGTCTCCATCACAGAGCTGGCTCGAGAAAGCAACTCCCTCATCAATCTGCAAACGGAGGCTGGTTTCCTTAGCAAAGGAGTGGCTTGAGAAGGCCTTCTATTCTTGGGGGGGGGGACACACAAATAAAATGGATAAAGTCGTTTTGGGGGGAGATCTGATGAGCTTTTGGATCACTGAAGTCAGGGGTCCCCAAGTTTGGCCACTTTTCAGACTTGTGGACTTCAACTCCCAGAGTTCCTGAGCCAGCCATGCTGAGGGGAAAGGGAGAGGTTTCCAAGCTGAGCCAGGCTGGCTCAGGAATTCTGGGAGTTGAAGTCCACGAGTCATAAAAGGATCAAGGTTGCCTGCCTCTGGCCTAGGCCTAGGTCGCTTTATGACTCGTGGACTTCAACTCCCAGAATTCCTGAGCCAAGCTGGCTCAGCTTGGAAACCTCTTCCTTTCCCCTCAGCATGGCTGGCTCAGGAATTCTGGGAGTCATAAAAGAGCCAAGATTGCCTAGGCCGCTTTCTGACTAGTGGACTTCAACTCCCAGAATTCCTGAGCCAGCCTGGCTCAGCTTGGAAACCTCTTCCTTTCCCCTCAGCATGGCTGGCTGAGGAATTCTGGGAGTTGAAGTCCACGAGTCTGAAAAGTGGCCAGGCTTGGGGAACCTTTGACTTAAGTCACATTCACACGTTGGGAATATATTTATGTAAACAAGTCAGCTGTCATGCCCTCGGAACAGAGTGGGAAGAATCCTTGCACAGTGCTTTTTCCTGATGAATTATTTGCTGCTCTTCGTGGAAGGTTGTGACGTGTATCGAAAAGTTTAGAATTGGACCTTTGCAGACCGTCACCCGTATTTTGAACAAGCTTTCTGTACTACAACGCCCATGCGCCCAGTCACAGCAGGTAGACAAGCTGTATAGCCCAATGTACTTTGCGGTTCTGATTAAAAGAAATACATTTTCTTTCTGTATCACCATTCCAGAGATTCAAAGTCAAAACAATGGCGATGGCTTTTGAACTGCTGTAGCTTTCTTATTATTATGTTATTTTTCCAATTTATAGGGGTCCTTTTTTTTTCTATGCAAGGCTACTCAAAAGATAATCAATTAGGATTATGACTTCCTGACCTTTAGAACAATTAACCAGTGGAACATCCTGCCCCCAGAAGCGGTGAATGCGCCAACACTGGAAGTTTTTAAGAAGAGACTGGACAGCCATTTGTCTGAAATGGTATAGGCCGGGTCTCCTGCCTGAGCAGGGGGTTGGACTAGATGACCTCCTAGGTCCCTTCCAACATTATTAACAACCTGCCTCTAGAAGCGGTGAATGCACCAACACTGGAAGTTTTTAAGAAGAGACTGGACAGCCATTTGTCTGAAATGGTATAGGATTCCTGCCTGAGCAGGGGGTTGGACTAGATGACCTCCGAGGTCTCTTCCAACATTATTATTATTAACAACCTGCCTCCAGAAGTGGTGAAATATTATTATTATTATCATCATCATCATCGCACAGTCAGCCAGATGTTCAGATTGGATTTGGCATTTTTGTCTACCTGTTGAGTCCTTACCAAGGACCTGGGATAGGCAGATGTGGATGTTTGAATTGATATTTTTATTTTTATTATTTAGTTTACATGAGGGTCTCAATTATGGATCCCAATACAAAGATGGGCACAAAGAAACTGGAGTGTGACTAGAACTCACCACCACCTGATTTTTAGCCTGGCCCTTTAACCCATAGACCAGGGGTAGGCAACTTTGGTTCTTTTATGACTCGTGGACTTCAACTCCCAGAATTCCTCAGCCAGTATGGCTCAGCTTGGAAACCTCTCCCTTTCCCCTCAGCATGGCTGGCTCAGGAATTCTGGGAGTTGAAGTCCACGAGTCATAAAAGAGCCAAGGTTGCCTATCTCAAGGGCGAAGGGCAGGTTAGGAAGTCTGAAAGCAGACCAAGTCAAACCCCATTCTCCGTTGTTGAATGTGGTTGCCAGGCGATCAACAATCCGCCACCAGGGCTGATCGTCATCAGAATTCTCTGCCCACAACTCTTGGTTCCATAGAAGTTGTCCTTTCCTGCATACACAAACACACACTGGAGAAAGGCTGGAAGTCAACCACCACTGGACACAAGTGAGAGCCAGGATGAGGACCAGCTGGCACAGAAGAAGCCGGGCACACCAGCCAGCATTGGCAGGGCAGGGGGCAGACCTGGCCTTGGGCCTCTGCATGCCGAGGGGGCAAAAAGAGGGAGGAGACCCCCTCCCCAAAATCCGGGCTGAGCTAATGGAACTGGCCCCATCTGGTGCCTGCCCGATGGTTGGGACTACAATTCCCATAGTCCCTTGTTGAGACCAACACCAAAGACCCAGGCGGGCAGTGGGTTGTCTCATTCTGGCTGCGGGGGGGGGGGGGGAGGAGGCTGTGGGAAGGCAAGATGGTAGCTGGGATCAGGTGATTGGGCGCCCATAAAAAGAGGGGGCTTTGTAGGGTCAAAGCTGCCATCTTGACTTTTTTGACTACCCCGCTAAGTACCCCCCCTTAGTACCCTTGCTAAGTTTGGTTTAGTAATCAGGACTGTTAGCTCAGGAAGGAAGGGAAGTGGGAGGGAGGGAGGGAGGGAAGGAAGGAAGGGAAAAAGGAAAGGGAGGAAGAGAAAGAAGGGATGAGGGAAGGAGGGAGGAAGGAGAAGAAAAGGAAGGGGAGGGAGGAAAAAGGGAAAGAAGGAAGAGAAAAGGGAGGGAAAAGGGAAAGAAGGAAGGGAAGGAAGGAAGAAAAAATGGAAGGGAGGAGGGAGGGAAGGAAGAAAAGGGAAGGGAGGGAGGAAAATGGGAAAGAAGGAAGAGAAAAGGGAAGGGGGGGAAAGGGAAAGAAGGAAGAGGAAGAGAAAAGGGAGGGAGGAAAAAAGGAAGGGAAGGAAGAGAAAATGGGAGGAGGGAAGGAAGGAAGAGAAAAGGGAAGGAAGGAAGGAAGAGAAAATGGAAGGGAGGAGGGAAGGAAGAAAAGGAAAGGGAGGGAGGAAAATGGGAAAGAAGGAAGAGAAGAGAAAATGGAAGGGAGGAGGGAAGGAAGGAAGAGAAAAGGGGAGAGGAAAAGGGAAAGAAGGAAGAGAAAAGGGAGGCAAAAGGGAAAGAAGGAAGAGAAAATGGAAGGGAGGAGGGAGGGAAGGAAGAGAAAAGGGAAAGAGGAAGGGAAGGGAGGGAGGAAAACGGGAAAGAAGGAAGGGAAGGAAGGAAGAAAAGGAGGAAAGGGAGGGAAGGAAGAAAGAAAAGGGGAAGGAAGGGGAAGAAAAGGAAGGGAGGGAGGAAAACGGGAAAGAAGGAAGAGAAAAGGGAAGGGAGGGAAAAGGGAAAGAAGGAAGGAAGAAGAGGGAGGGAGGAGGGGAAAAAAGGAGAAAAGGGAAGGAAGAGAAGAGGGAGGAAAGGAAGGAAAAGGGAAGGAGGGAGGAAAAGGGGAGGGAGGAAGAAAAAAGGGAAGGAAGAAAGAGAAGAGGGAAGGAGGAAGTAGAAAAGGGAAGGGAGGGAGGAGTGTCAAGATCCCTCCCTCCCTCCCTCCCTCAGGCTGGGCTGCTTCTCCTCTGTGTTCAGCTGCTGAGCCTGACCGGTTGACCAAGCCAGGCCCTCCAGCCCGCGATGATGCTGGCCGCTTCCAGGCGCCAGTTGCAGCCCCAGCCGGCCCCCGAGGACCTCTCGCTGCCCGAGGCCTACCAGCTGCTGGCTGCCCTGATGCAGTTCGTGGGGATGGTCCTCCTCGCAGTGGCCGTCTACATGCAGCACTGGATCTGGCTGGAGCCCCAGGAGTTCACGGTCGGCCCCTGGCCCCTGGTCTTCTACACCTTCGGGATCCCCTACAAGATAGCCACCTCCAGGAACGCCTCAGATGCGGGTAATTTAACCAGTTCTGAGGGGACGTCGGATAACAGCAGCCGAGCCGCCTCAGGCGGGGAGTCCTCGACTTAACGACCAAAGCTGAGGCCAACGTTTCCGTCGTTCGGGGAGACGTCAGGCGAAGTGAGCCTTGCCCCATTTTACGACCTCCCTGGCCGCCGTTCTTAAGCGAATCACGGCGGTTGTTAAAGGTAGTCACCTGGTGACTCTGGCTTCCCCGGGGTTGCAAAAGGGGGGTCGCATGACCGCGGGAGGCCGCGGCCGTCATAAATATGAACCACTTGCCTCAAGCGTCTGCATTTTGGTCACGTGATCGTGCGGCAAAACAGTCACATCACCTGGGTACCGCTGTGGAAAACAGTCGTGAGGGGCTTTTTTTTTCTCAGTGCGGAGGTAACCTTGGAACGGTCACTAAAGGAACTGTCGTAAGTCGAGGACTATCCATCCATCATCATCCCCCCCCCCCCAGCATGAAAACATGACTTGAAGTGCTGGCTTGATATTTTTTTTCCTGCGCCAAGCCTTTCTGGAGATGATTCAAATATAAATAACTGGGCTTGAGGGGTTCTTTTGCAGACATTTCATGACCCAAGTAGGTAACATCATCAGTTCTGGAAGGGAGTAGGGTTTGCAGAGAGGAGGAGGAGGGAGGGGAGGGGGAGACAGAGGAGGAGGAAGAAGAAGAGGAACAGGAGGAGGAAGAACAGGAGGATTGTGGGGTCTCCAGTGCCCTTGGTTCTTGCAGACATTTCATGACCCAAGTAGGTAACATCATCAGTTCTGGAAGGGAGTAGTAGGGTTTGCAGAGAGAGGAGGGGGAGGGGAAGGAGGAGGAGGAAGAAGAGGAGGAGGAGGAAGAAGAGGAACAGGAGGAGGAGCAAGGAGGGAGGACTGGGGTCTTTGGTGCTCTTGGTTCTGGCAGACATTTCATGACCCAAGTAGGTAACATCATCAGTTCTGGAAGGGAGTAGTAGGGTTTGCAGAGAGAGGAGGGGGAGGGGAAGGAGGAGGAGGAGGAAGAAGAGGAACAGGAGGAGGAGGAGCAGGAGGACTGGGGGGGGTCTCCGGTGCTCTTGGTTCTTGCAGACATTTCATGACCCAAGTAGGTAACATCATCAGTTCTGGAAGGGAGTAGTAGGGTTTGCAGAGAGAGGAGGGGGAGGAGAAGGAGGAGGAAGAAGAAGAAGAGGAACAGGAGGAGGAGGAGTGAGGAGGAACAGGAGGACTGGGGGGGTGGTCTCCGGTGCTCTTGGTTCTTGCAGACATTTCATGACCAAACTAGGTAACATCATCAGATCTAGAAGGGAGTAAGTTCCGCTCTGTAAAGTATAGTTAGTACGTTTGTATGCTATCCAACTCAACGACTCTGTGCAGTTCATGACAACCCCAGAAAGTGCAATAAAGCCGATAAAATGCTTCTGCCTTTTGCCAGTGTGCATTTGGCAGCCTATTCCTTGGTCTTCTTTCTTCTTTATTTTTTTGCAGAGTATTTGTATTTTTTCCCGAAGGACCACCATGCGATCAAGCAAGCCATGATCACGCTTTGCTTTCTGAACCTGTGCTTTGGCGTCCTGGCCTTCCTCCTGGATTACGTGCGATTCCCGATGCTGGAGAAGTATCGGATGAGATTGGTCCCTGCCCTGCACATTTTCTCAGGTAATTTTCCTTCCTTCCTTCCTTCCTTCCTTCCTTCCTTCCTTCCTTCCTTCCTTCCTTCCTTCCTTCCTTCCTTCCTTCCTTCCTTTCTTTCTTTCTTTCTTTCTTTCCTTTCTTTCTTTCTTTCTTTTTTTCTTTCTTCTTCCTTTCCTCCTCCTCCTCCTTCCTCTTCTCTCCCTACCTCTCCCTCTCCTTCCTCTTCTCCTTCTCCTCTCTGCCCCTCCCATTTCCTCCTCCTCCTACTTCCCCTTCCCCTTCTCTCCCCATTTTTCCCTCTCCTTCCTCTTCTTCCTGTTCTTCTCTCCCCCTCCCCTCTCCCTCCCATTTCCTCCTCCTCCTACTTCCCCTTCCCCTTCTCTCCCCATTTTTCCCTCTCCTTCCTCTTCTTCCTGTTCTTCTCCTCCTCTCTCCCCCTCCCCTCTCCCTCCCATTTCCTCCTCCTCCTACTTCCCCTTCCCCTTCTCTCCCCATCTTTCCCTCTCCTTCCTCTTCTTCCTGTTCTTCTCCTCCTCCTCCTCCGTCTCCCCCTCCTCCTTCCCCTTCCCCATCTCTCCTCTCCCTCCCCCTCCTTCCTCTTCCTCTTCTTCACCTCCCTCTCCTCCCCCGCTCCTCCTCTTTCTTTTCCTTCCCCTTCTCTCCCTACCCCTCCCTCTCCTTTCTCCCTCTCCTTCTCCCTCCCTCCCACATGCTGGGCGCCATCTCTTCTGCCCGTAAGGGGGATCCCAACCCCTCCCCAAAGAAGTCTTTAAGGGCTCTTTCTCCCCCCCCTCTTTTTTCAGGGATGTGCACCATGGTCCTGGTAGTGATGTGCCTTTGGTGCTTTGAGAAGATTCGTCGACGGTTCGTGGAACCCAAGTGGTGGAAATACGCCATGGAGATTTACTACGGGGAGAGCTTCTACATTGGCTTGCTGGTTCTCGCCTTTGGGGCCTGGGCTGCCCTCTTCATCCTGGGTGCCCTCAGGCTGGGCTCCAGAGAGACGCCGCCCAGCAAAGCAATAGGAGAGCCCGGTGGGCCGGTGCGGCTGTCCTGGTGAGCCAGGAGGAAACCCTCGGACCCAAATCCAGCCTGCCATTTTGTGGTTCCATCCTTCCCTCCTTTTCCTCCTCCCTCCCTATTCCCTTCTTCCTCCCTCCCTCCCTGCCTCATTCCTCCCTCTCTCCTTATTTCCTCCGTTCCCACTTCCTCCCTCCCTCTATTTCCTTCCTTCCTGCCCCCCCTTTCCACCCTCCCTCTCCATTTCCTTCCTCCCTCTATTTCCTTCCTTCCTGCCCCCCTTTCCACCCTCCCTCTCCATTTCCTCCCTCTATTTCCTTCCTTCCTGCCCCCCTTTCCACCCTCCATTTCCTCCCTCTATTTCCTTCCTTCCTGCCCCCCTTTCCACCCTCCCTCTCCATTTCCTCCCTCTATTTCCTTCCTTCCTGCCCCCCCTTTCCACCCTCCCTCTTTCCTCCCTCCCTTTCCTTCCTTCCTGCCCCCCTTTCCACCCTCCATTTCCTCCCTCTATTTCCTTCCTTCCTGCCCCCCTTTCCACCCTCCTTCTCCATTTCCTGCCTCTATTTCCTTCCTTCCTGCCCCCCTTTCCACCCTCCCTCTCCATTTCCTCCCTCTATTTCCTTCCTTCCTGCCCCCCTTTCCACCCTCCCTCTCCATTTCCTCCCTCCCTCTATTTCCTTCCTTCCTGCCCCCCTTCCTACTCTCCCTCTCCATTTCCTCCTTCCCTCTATCTCTATTTCCTGTTTCCTCCCTCCCTCCACCTTCCCTCCCTCCCTCTCTCTTTTTTCTCTCCCTTCCACCATCCTTCCCTATTTCCTTCCTTCCTTTCTTCCTCCCTCCCTATTTCTTTCCTCCCTCCCTCCCTTCCCTTTTTGTGATATGGGAAAACTTCTCTCTTTAAACCAGCATCCCCCTTTTCCACCCAAAAAGGGGATGCTAGCAAAGCTTTGCTCAGCAAGCCAGGTTCGTACAGGCAAACCAGCCTAAGGATGAGATCTCCGTGCGACACCGTTCTGGCTTCCACTATGCGGGATCTTTCATAGCAGGAAAAGAGACCAGGCCAATGAGGAGAGGAGAGGGGAAAATTGCTTGGGGGGGCGGGCTGGGAGTTGGGGGGGGGCACAGCTTTAGAATCCAGCATTTGTAGGGTTATTGTCTTGGGATCAGCTCAGAATGATCCAGACAGACCCTCCTTTGCTTGCACAAAAGATAATACGAAGCTTTCAAAATAAAGATTATTTGACTCTTTCCCCTCGTCCTGGGCCTGTTTTATTTCCAAAGCCCCATTTTCCAAGCGGTAGTTGGGTGAATCGGTTCGTTTGCTGCCCGACTCCGTTCCAAGCGAATAACCAGGTGGACGCCTGTGCTGTGGGTGATGCCGAGAAGGATACCTTTTCCCGATTTAAAAAAAAAAAAAAAAAACTCCAGGGCAGCTGTGCCTGCCTGGGAACAGGACATGGCTCCGTTTTTAAGAGCCTGGGGGGCAGAGAGGATCTGGCCGTGGGTCATTTTGAGGGGCCGCTTTGCTTCTAAGCTTCAACTGTCAGGGCCCGAGGGCTGACCTGGGCTTGCAACAAATCTGAACCACCAGAAGGGGGCAGTAAAGAGGCGTTTCACTGCCCTCTGGTGACCGTTTTAGAGATTTGCACTCCTACCTGGGCACTTTTAAAATCAAGAGCTCTAGGAGCTTCGTTAGAGCGTTAAAGGGAACGTCCATGATTAGAGATGCTGGATAAATAAGGGAAAAAAATTAGGCCTCCCTGAATTAGCCTTCAGTGCTGAAGAAGCACTGATCTGAAACTAACTTTTTACCTCCCTCTTTCCTCCCTCCCTCCTCCCTTCCTTTCTTCCTCCCCCTTTCTATCTCCTCCTTCCCTTCCTTTCTTCCTCTCTCCCCTTCCTTCCTTCCTTCCTTCCTTCCCCTTTCTATCTCCTTCCCTTCCTTTCTTCCTCTCTCTCCCCTTCCTTTCTTCCTTCCTCCCCTTTCTATTTTCTCCTTCCCTTCCTTTCTTTCTCTCTCTCCCCACCCTTCCTTCCTTCCTTCCTTCCTTCCTTCCTTCCTTCCTTCCTTCCTTCCTTCCTTCCCCTTTCTATCTTCTCCTTCCCTTCCTTTCTTCCTCTCTCCCCTTCCTTCCTTCCTTCCTTCCTCCCCTTCTATCTCCTCCTCTCCTTCCTTTCTTCCTCTCTCCCCTTCTTTCCTTTCTTCCCCTTTCTATCTTCTCCTTCCCTTCCTTTCTTTCTCTCTCTCCCCATCCCTCCCTTCCTTCATTCTTTCCTTCCTTCCCCTTTCTATCTCCTTCCCTTCCTTTCTTCCTCTCTCTCCCCTTCCTTCCTTCCTTTCTTCCTTACTCCCCTTTCTATCTTCTCCTTCCCTTCCTTTCTTCCTCTCTCTCTCCTTCCTTCCTTCCTTCCTTCCTTCCTTCCTTCCTTCCTTCCTTCCTTCTTTCCTCCCCTTCTATCTCCTCCTCCCTTTCTTCCTCTCTCCCCTTCCTTCTTTCCTCCCCTTCTATCTTCTCCTTCCCTTCCTCTTCCTCTCTCTCCCCTTCCTTCCTTCTTCCTCCTCCCGCCCCCTTTCCATGTCATGCTCCCTTCCTTTCTTCCTCTCGCTCCCCTCCCTTCCCTCCCTCCCTCCCTCCCTCCCTCCATCATTCCCTTCCTCCCTCCCTCCTTCTCCTCCTCCTCCTCCCATTATTACTTGTGTTTCCCCAATTTTCCCCAGAAACCCTTTTTCAGGGATTTGGGGAAGACAGCACCATGAAAATCCCAAAGCTTTGAGGCCCACCGTGGGCGAAAGGGACAGGATAACCCTGGTTGCCACCGATCCAGTCAGGAAGGAGAAAAGTTCTGCAGGTCAAAAGCTGCCCCCAAGCCCACCCCCCCCCACCGGTTCCCTGCCTCCTCCGTTGCAAGGCTGGCCCTCCCATCACAGCGGGCAAAGGTTACTATGGCAATCCTTCTTCCCTCTCCTCTTTGCCAGAATAAAAATGACTTTCAGAGAAGGCGGGCCCTGCAGCGCCAGGGGGCCAGGAGGGATTTCATCCTGTCTCTGCCTCATTTTACGATGGGATATCCAGAGGAGGCACAGATCCCATGGAGAACAGTTGCCCACCTTATGGTTGCAGTGGTGATAAGGAATGGGAAAGCAACAGGCCTTGATTTTTTTTTTTTTAAAGAAGAGTTTGGATAAGCATTTGTCTGAAATGGCCTTGGGTTTCCTGCTTGAGCAGAGGGTTGGACTAGAAGATCTCCAAGGCCCCTTCCAACTCTTCTGTTGTTATTCTGTTATTCTGTCATTCTGTTATTCTGTTATTCTTTTGTTATGTTATTCTTTCATTCTGCTATTCTGTCATTCTGTCATTCTGTTATTCTTTCATTATGTTATTCTGTCATTATGTTATTCTGTCATTATGTTATTCTGTTGTTATTCTGTTGTTATTCTGTTATTCTGCTATTCTGTCATTCTTTCATTCTGTTATTCTGTCATTCTGTTATCATTCTGTTATTCTTTCATTCTGTTATTCTGTCATTGTTATTCTGTTGTTATTCTGTTATTCTGTCATTCTGTTATTCATTTTGTTATTCTGTTGTTATTGTTGTTATTCTATCATCTGTCATTCTTTCATTCTGTCATTCTGTTATTCTGTCATTCTTTCATTCTGTTATTCTGTCAGTCTGTCATTCTTTCATTGTTATTTTGTCATTCTGTTATTCTGTCATTCTGTCCTGGATGGACTGAGGATCTCCAGGACTTTTGCTGGAGCAGTTCGTTCCTGTAACCCCCATCACTGAGCTTCCACCGATTACATCTTGTCCTCAGATGCTATGGAGAATAGGTTGAAACCCCCCCCCCTTCTCTGTGACAGCCCCTAAAATATTGCAGGATTGCTATCATAGCAACAGCACTTATACACCACTTCACAGCCTCCTCTAAGCGGTTTACAGAGTCAGCATCTTTCCCGCCAATAATCTGGGTCCTCATTTGACCGACCTCGGAAGGACGGAAAGCTGAGTCAACCTGGAGCCGGTCAGGATCGAACTGTTGGCAAGTGGGCAGAGTCAGCCTGCAGTACTACACTCTCACCACTGGGCCACCACCCCTCCTAGTTAGGTAGGTCGGTAGACAGCTTGCTAGTTAGCCCCTAATTTGACTCCGCTGACTCCAGCGGAGGCCTTGGCATGCTGAGTTAAAAGCCTGGCAAAGGTTCCATCGAATTATGCCGCAAATGAGTATGTGTGTAATTCTACCACAACGGCCTGCAGTGGGTATGCCATTCAGATGTGGGCACAAACGAGGGGCTCTTTTCAGCTTCGTTTACCCTGTGTGGCCTCCACTGCTGTGCCAAATTAAAGGGTTACCGTGAGTTTGGCAGATGGCAGGCAACGGTTCTCATTATATCCACATCTCAAAAGAGGCAAGGGACGAGTTTTAATTCTGGCCTGCCCCATCCACGGCTTGCCCCCCCTCCCCCCATTGCCCCAAATAATGCGTGAAACTTGGTGTTCTCATCCCGTCTTAGCCATGAAAGCCAGCTAGGTGACTTTGGGACCAATCACCAGGAGACTCTGAGTTCCAGTCCCACTTTAGGCAGGAAAGCCAGCTGGGTGACTTTGTACCAGTCACTAGGAGATGTGAGTTCTAGTCCTGCCTTAGGCATTAAAGTCAGCTAGGTGACTTTGGGCCAATCACCAGGAGACTCTGAGTTCCAGTCCCGCTTTAGGGAGGAAAGCCAGTTGGGTGACGTTGGACCAGTCCCTAGGAGCTGAGTGAGTTCTAGTCCTGCCTTAGAAATGAAAGTCAGCTAGGTGACTTTGGGCCAATCAACAGGAGGCACTAAGTTCTAGTCCCACCTTAGGCGGGAAAGACAGCTGGTTGACTTTGGGCCAGTCCAAACTGAGTGTGCGATAACCATGTTTTCTGGATGTTTGACCTAATTCTCCTGACCGGGACCAAATGCTCCTGGGAAATAGAAAAGAGCCGAAAGCAGGGGAAAACATTCTGAAAAAGAAGCATCCTATTGGTCCTTTAAAAATATTGCTAAAAAGGGGTTTTGCTTCATTTTTTTCCCCCTCTCACCAATTGTTCTCCTCCCGTCTCAGTTATATAATAGTAATAATAATAATAATAATAATAATAATAATAATAATAATAATAATAGTAATAAGGACTCAGGACTGTTGGCTGAG